GAGCCACAAATTATTAATGARCGAACATTTTTGGTACAATTCTATATGACAATCTCTGCTTTGCCCATGGACATCCCATAACTTCTTCAAAATTCAAGATGAAACTCTTAGATAATAACCTAATTCTCGCTCAGCACTTTCAATACCAGATGTTTCATACTTCGTTTACATTTGAGTGTTTTCAGTGCGACGGGAGCTTGGTTCTATGGAGTTTCGACGCTCAAGGTAATACCGCTTGTTTCCATTACAAAGTAATCTCTTCGCTGCTTCACGAAAGTCGGACAGACAGACACAATAGATGACGGGACTGAGAAAAGAATTTCCAATAGGAAGAATGTACCAAGCTAGGAAGAACACCGCTGGCCACTTATATTCGGCGCACGGATTGACAGATAATGCTATTACGTGTCCTATTACAAATGGAACATAGCAACACGAGTAAAGCAATAATGAATATAAAACCATTTTCACGGCATTTCGGGTTCGCTTTTTTCGCTGTTGTCTTTGTACTTCAGAAAGACTGTCTTCAATGGCTTGCGGTCTGGATATCCTTCGCAATATTGTCACACTAAGCAGGACTATGGCAGAATAGAAGGACAGTACCAAAGCAATGTAACCAAAGACATATATCTTTCCATTTATTTTGTCCGTATAACGTCTAATACAAATCTTTGTAGACTTTGTTTGCTCAATTTGAGCAAATAGTAAAGTATCTATCTCCATTAGCACTGGAATCAACCATGAACCAGCTATCACTGCGGCTCGCCGCTTTCCAGTAATCGGTCGTGGGATTTGAACAGTTTGCCTTGTGATTTTGAATCTTTCAATGCTGATGATCAGAAGAGTAACAAGAGACACTGTATTAAAAATGTAGTACGAATATGTCACTTTGCAGAGAACTGTTGCAATTTTTACGTCAATTTCATTCCATARGCCAGTCGTTAGAAATCTGTCATTGACATACTGRAAGATATTAGCCGCGATGAAAAGACCATCTGCAACGGCCATGTTGATGATCAAAAAATGCAGATTCTTTGTTACAGTGTACTTTACAGCCAGCACGATGATAAAAACGTTKCCAAAAATACCARATCCACCAAGAACCAARCATGACATCAGTTTAACAGTTTTTTCAATGGCTGATTCAGGTTCCGTGTAAATGCAATGACTGTTGACTCGGATTATTATACTTGTTTCATTCATGTTTGTAGACTTTAATTTGATGACACCCTCAGAATTTATTGTCGTTGTTGTTGTTGCTGCTGCAGTTTTTGTTGCTGCTGTTGTTGTCGCAGGCTTTCTCCATTGTGTTATGAAATCAGCATTCGTCTTTCTCCCCAATTGTTGCCCTATAGGTTTGCTTTCTCCTTTCTTGTCTTCTTACGCGTCCTTGTGTTTTGCTCAATTTATTATCTTCGCGATCTTCTAAATTCAAATAACTTTTTTTATGATGATGGACCAGTGTTTTGGATTTAAAATATCGATTCGTTAGGAATATCCGATTTGAGAGATCACATCAGTGGATTCATACGAAAAACTTGTTTGCTAAATGATGTGCCTAATTCTATGGTTAATTAGTTGCTCCTTTTAATACTCGAAACTTGATATGAATAATTGCTTTGTGCAATTTCATTTTTGATTAAAAACTTTAAATGTACCATTCCACTTAGTGGAGAACTTCTTAAATCGATAACAATTACCAAAAGCGGCCAATGACACATTTGAATCTACTGTTAGCAGTCGTATACAATCTCAAAACTAATATACAATTTTACTAWTAGCGATGACAATTACAACAGCGACCAATGACACATTAATATCTACTGTTATCAGTCGCATTCATTGAACATTATTGGAAACTGCAGTCAGTAGATAACTGTAGTATTAAATCACTGTTCTTGTAAGAATTTTTTTCCTGGGAAAGGGATTTTGAGCCACATTGTTGACAATCTCACAAAGCAAATGTGGCGCCCTTCCTGCTTTTAAAATAGCTTTGTTCTTGGCAGATGTTTGTAAGGTCATAAAAGGCTTATATAACGTTTTTATGGTCAAAAACGGCTAATATTTTTTTTTAGTTATGAAATTACATACAAGTTTTTGGCAAGGAGCAGATACATATCTTCCACACAGATTCAAGCGCTTTGCCAGGGAATTGCCAATTTGATAATTGCCAATTTGATGCAAAGAGCGGGTCAGTTCCCAATAACGATGACTTTGGGCATTATTGCTTTGGTCATTTCAACACCGCTTTCCGAGGATGTGAAAATAAAGACAGCACCACTAACATCTGGTTTGGTGGCTACCTCTAAAAGAGCATGCTTCTAATGAGAGAAACTTCTTYTTATGATTTGCAAAATTGAAAATTCACATGATTTCAAAATTTCATCTTATTTGGAAATATTATTCAGATGGACTTGTTTTGAYCAATTTCCTCAAGTCATGAATGTTTGCATTACCTGGAACTTGCAGATATTATAGAAAAAAGACTTTAAAAAAATATTTCCTATTGCTTTTATTTCATATATGGTAAACACTGGGTAAAAAATCCCTAAAAAAGCACAGGAATCCCAAACTAACGACAACAATTCATTGATMTCCATTCTTTCAAAACTGACTGCACTAGACGAATGAAATTCCTATCTAAAACACAACTCCGCAAAACAGATCAAAAACAAATCACACCGTTCCGAGGATATGTTGTAACTCGAAAGATAACATTTATTGCTGGTTGTAGTTTCCAGAAAAGAAAAAAAAAACATAGCGCAGAGGGAAGAGAAAATATACCAAKCCAATCCAAGGGTCTAGTCGACAGAGAGTACAGACTACGTAAGTTTCACGATCTCTTTTATTATACTGGGAAAATGCATACGGAGTGCGCTTTCCATTTGTCAGAACTGGCTGGCCAGACCCAGAGAAAATGTCATTATATATCATTCCCATTTAGTTAGGAAATTCAAATTTTTAAATTCTATCCATTATTCTACAGAAAACCTCGRAATGACKGAAAAAKGTTGACAAAAAGCATTATATACCTCTAAATAGAGTGGACTGGCCGGCCAGTTCTGCCTTTAAATGGAAAGCGCCCGGAGAATCAGTGTTAGATTAGCTAAATAGAAATACCACAGTAATGGATCACAACTATTCAAGACAAAAACTGATATTTTCAATATGAACCATTTTATTAAGCAATAGCGAATCACCTTGAAGTTCAAGAATTTCAATATTACCAATGAGTTATACTTAAAGAATCCCAACCGACCATAATGCAGCGCGCGCTCGTGTTATTGTTTACATACGTTTAAGGACGTTCGAGGGCATTGCTACTGCGCACGCTTTCTGCGCACGCTCAAACCGGAAGTTGTCACGAAATTGCATCACACAAAACAAAGATGGCGACCGCTCTTGTTATGTGTTTATGAGGTCTTGTACGTACTTTTCTGAACTTCTACTTGAATGAAAAATATCTTCGTGTTCAAAAAATGAGAGATTTACTACTGCTAAAGAATTGATGAGGCGAAAAAGTGTTGAAAATGCTCTAAAAAGTCGTAGATTTTCAGAAAAAAGTCTCTCGCAATTCAAGATGGCCTGCAAAATCTAAGATTTCGACACGAAATATTTCGACAACGAACCCGGTAACCCCAATTTCTATTTATCTTAAAAGAAGGCTACTTGGAAAAAATATAACATATGTGAAAGCGGAAAAAACGACAACAGAGGTTTCTGAAATATAGCAGTTTTAGCTGGAAATGACACCTATTCTTGACGTCGAATGTGGCGGCCTTACACGAACAAAAGTCCTAAAGAAATCAAAAATCACATCATGTAATGTTTCAAAGTCTCGTAAACAATATTAACAATTATCTCCCTCAGCTTTTGTGGAAAAATTTGGGTCAATTGATATGTGTTTTATATTTTTCGGGAAGTTTTTTGGTAGACGGCATCGACCCCTTTTCGCGCGCTTTTCTTTGACAATTTTGGTGATTTTGTGCAAGAATTATCTCTAAAATGAAGCCGGTGACCTCCACTTTTTTATCGCTTTTTTGCAAGTTTATGTCATCGCGTATTTCCCCAAAAAATTTCATCGAATTGACATCACGGAATCCAATGCCAATGAACGTCCTTAAATGCGTCAAACATACAATAGATTATTTAAGGAATAAAAAACAGTTTTCCGTGTATTATACTCTGATAAAATCACGCGGGATGTGGGGAGAACACGAGAGAAGCGTAGGAAACCACGACGCGAAGCAGCTTCTCGAGTGTTCTCTCCACATCCCAAGTGTTTTTATCMGAGTATAATAYAYGGAMAACTRTKTTKTATKGCTTTTATAAAATAACAAGCGCTCAAATATTCATGAGAAAAAGAGCCGAGAAAAAAATGACGCAAGCGTGTATTATGCTCTCATCAAACACGGCTTTTTGGCCAATCAGAGAGCGCGTAATATGAAAGTTATTTTATAAAGATTGATAGTACCTGTGAGGTACTTAGTTAAAGGTATTTCTGCCCAAACTGAAAGGATTGAGGACGACTCGCGTTCACTGCCATTTTCGTTTCCACCTTAAATGGTGAATCGGCTCGCAAGGGACAGCGGTTGGTTGTGATTCTTTAAAGCCCCATGAACATCCATTTACCTTTTTCATCGTTTTTATCGTGCTACAAATTCTCTAGTTAAAATGAGCTTTCTTATTGATTTATAATCAAATATGGAGAATTTTCGTATTCGAGAAAATCGCGCAAAGGTTCTTGGATATTTAGGGGTCTTCAAATGGAAAGGGCCAAAAGTTCCCTTTTTTGGCGCAAGTGTACAAGTGCGAATTCTAGGMCTAGATCACATACGTTTACAGCAAGAACAGTAACAGTTTTTAAGACATAATAACAATATAACAGACCTACTTGTCATACAAGAAGTAATTGAAATAGTTAAGAGATATGGTACTACACAGTTCATTTTGTGGTACGACTGTTTTTACGCAATCCGCTTACAGACATAACAGGCATACAGACACAATATCCCGTCATAAATATATGAGTCGATGCACTTTGGTCTTCAAACGCTGTGGTGCTGAGATATTCCTTTCAACATCACTGTACTTATCGTGCAAAACAGTGCGGTCCAAGCCTTCTCAACTTCAATGTTGTCGAACGGTATTGTACCGTCAAGTAGCGCCATGATGCATGAAACAAAGCACTTTCTTAGGTCATCAAACTGAAACAAAATAAACCTAATTAAAACCAATATATATGCAACACACGACAAATTTTTCGGCCCACTTAGAAACTGGTCAATCCAATCTCGGTGGTCATGAGACTTCAAAAGAAAGAATTAGGTAAGACTAAAGAACCAGCGACTATTTTTAAACTTTGAGCTATTTTTGGAAACACAGATCTTGATTGGCCAGATCGTTGGTTTGATTCTGAATATATTTCCACATCTCTCATCTTAAATAATTTTGCAGATTCACCTCTCAATCGCTAACAGTCGACACAAAATTTCTTTTGGCACCCGATCTGCTCCTATTCCTAGTATAGCTTCCCGGGGATTGGTAACAAGATAAAAATAGTTTGTTTCTAAAAATAGCAGTAGGGTACTTGCCGYATCGGGTCTGTTCCGGGAGAGTTCTCTTCACTCAGTCTCGCTTGACCTTATATAACATCATAGTTAATAGAGGGGAATGTTTTGGAAACCTTTTGTTGTACTTCTTTTGTACGTATTTTGAGGTTGAATCAGTCAAGACCGTGCACGACGTTTTTCTTACGAACGATGGAAATTGCAAAATGAGTGAACACAAACTCCATCTATGAGATTTTGAAATGAAATATTTCAATATTGGTTAAAATGTTTTGTGTTTTTTTAAGAAATAGTCAAAAGAATAATTTTCGCTCTGTTCATTCAGATGTGACCAGTATGGCCACAGGTCAATTGACAGGTAGCCTAAACTTAGTATCARATGACGATAACGTAATGCCTTAGACCTTTATCAATTTTAAATTTTAATTAGTTTCAAAGTAGGCCCAGAAAAATCCCTTCTAAAACAATGTTATGCTATTATTACTACACCAACGTGTTCTTTCATAATCATTCTAACCTTTTGAGAGATGTCTGAGAATCATTTACAGTTTTCAGAGGTTTTAGAAGACATTATCTGAACCTACTTTGAAAATATAATTCAAATTYAAAATTGCTAACGGTCCAACACATTGCGTCATTGTCCTCTGACAATAAGTTTGGGCTTCCTGTGGTATTGCTAACACAATAGTTAGACAAAAGATTGTGCACGGTCACGCTTGGAAAAAAGTGCACAAAAATCTACAACAAAAGTCTTTCTAACCATTTCCCTCTCCAAACTATGTTAACATACAGTAGGGTCTGGAGGATACATTCAAAAAGCAAAGCGAAAAAGAAACACTTACGTGTGTTCGAGAGATCACCAATTTGAATCCGCCATGACGAATTCCSAGCTCGTACAGATAAGCATAAAAGGTGTCAGAGTTTCCCATCTCTTTTACAGCTTCGTCAATAGCCGTCATTAGTCGATTTGGATGACCATGTCGATCAGTGATCTCGCTGATCGGCACTGATCGGAATTCTTTGAAATAGATTTTGAGCTCRGGGTTCATGGTAAGAAACCTGTATATCAAAGATAAAGCAAATACATGGTTTCGTCAATAAAGTGAGTATTAAAGGGCTAATTGGACGAAAATTGCGAAACAAATCAAATAGATCTATCCATAAGGGTCTRATAACCATGAAGCAACAGATTTCAAGAAGATATTGAYACAAATCCTTAATAATTTGGGCCAAAAAATGTACGAGTAAATGACGTCATCCACTCCATCCTTTTGTTCTTCCATGTTTTGAATCAAAATTTCTCTAATGTGGGATAATTCCAAAACAAATATTTTTCTCGCAATTATTTTTAATAGATATATTAAATGAGTCATATATTTGTGTTGCTTGAAGTTTTGAAATAAGGGCATTTTCATGCAAGCAGCACTTTAATCATGAATAATAATCGGAAAAACTTAAACATCAACGGAACTGCCTCACAAAAGTTGTTATTTATTCAGCAGCCATATATGGTAATTTTTGTGGACTCGTTTTGGGTGATCTTCTCCATTTTTAAAGATGTACATCGTCTGAAACGTGCGAATATTATAGYGGGAAAACTTATTTATTATATATATAACGAGACTTTCATAGAGTAAATGGCATAAATAGAAATCTGTATGCTATATTTTCACATGTGAAAAATAGCGATACGTCCAATCAGAAGCGCATATAGCATTTCTCACACTGTAAAAATATAACCAATCACAACACAGAAAAACCGTAATCAGCCAATCAGAAAGCGACGTTCACAACACTGAAATGGCTTCTCTCACATACCGCGCGCAAAAATGGCTGAAAGTGAACTGTGTTTGTTGATCAAAATTCCACATTTGAAGAGTTTATTAGTGGACAGGAAGCAAACAAACTAAAGCAAAGTAAGAAAAAATGTTTTTTTTTTTCAAGAGAATTAAGTTTTTTTCTATCCAGAATGAACATGAAAGCATGGAAAACATCAGCCAAAACTATAAACTTTAACGAACAGAAGTTTGTCTCGTTCGTGTTCACTGAGTTCAGGTCGTTTTATACCGAGTTTTGATCGTTTTCTGCAAAACTTAACCTTATCTCCATGCAATTTAGAAAGACAGGACTTCAGGAAGACAAGAGATGTAGCTGTAGGAAAGCTGAATCAGCTCAAACGAAGAGGCTGAAGAGGGAAATTGCAGCGCGTTATCTTACATACCAACCAAGAGAATTAAGTAGGTTTCTCGACGAAGAACTTTTATTTCTTACTCTACAGCTTACTATAAAATTTCGCTAAAACTTGTACGCTCTTGCAGCTTCAGTGAAAAGAACGACTATTAATTTAGCTGTTTTTTTAATCAAGTTTATAAAGGTCCGAATTATCTGTGCATTTTAATTTTATCTACATAAACTCATATTGAGTTTGGTTTCTCATAATAGTTGAACAAGCTTATTAAAAAGTATGCCGAATGAAAGTCTCGTTATATATATATATTCGTTGTATGATGCAAACAACTCGTGAATAAAATCCCGTACGTACGTATGTCCCAGCCAGCTGTAAGTCACAACTGGTCGTCAGAGAGAAATTCAGGAAAAAACAACTCTCAAGGCAAAAAGTACCTTCTAAGAATTTTTGCCAGAAAAATTTCCTACAAAAAAAGATTGAGGCTTTTTAACCATAAAAACGTTTGCTTTTGTTTGGCAGGAATAAATTATTTTAAAGTTTGAAGGGCACCACATTTGCTTAAAGTGCGACTGTCAACAATTTAGCTTGAAAATCCTTTTCCCAGAAAAAAAATTCGTACAAGAACAGTTATTAAAAGGAACTGACCCCGTCGACTCCTCCTGGTTAACATAATCCCGAGCGAAAACGTTGTCTTCAAGATCATCTCGTCTCAACATTGCAATAAACGGTTTCAAAAGTACGTTTCAGTGGGATTTAACTATCAATTTTCCATTTCCACTAAATGTTATAAGCAAATTACGTTTTTTTATTTTAAAATTGTGCATCGGTTTTTAAAAACMRGCATATCTGAAATTAAAACGAACATTCTATCCTTGAGTAATCTTTCAATGATACAAAATCGTTAAAAAATGCGTAATTTGAATTTGCGTCCACCTATCGATCTATATTATAAAACTCACCGTTTAAAAACTGAAATCCCTAGATCTTGTCTGTAAGCCTCCACAACTGAATTCCACGTTTCTCTGAGTATATATTTCTGCCTTGGAGTTAAATCTTCTGCCTTCGTATTCCTTAATGCACCGAAACGATGCAAGCTACCTGGAAAACTTGAAGCAGAGCAAGCACATCCCATATTGTCAATATTCTTTGGCAAGTGTTTTGGTAAACATTCAGCTAGCGTTTAATTAACTGAAGTTGGATTTACTGTTCATCCGCTAACTCCTTTGTGCTATTTGAATACAACAAAAATTCAAGGGGAAGATAACTAGAACAAAAAAAACAAAACCAACAAAAAAAGTGTAATTCCAAAAAGTGGAATTAGCAGGAAACATTTGCCATCAAAATCAATTAAAGTAATTATTTTTAAAACTTTTGTGCTTGAAAAACAAGTATGAAACAAATGAAGGATTAAGGCTTTTTTCTAAATAAACAAAAAACAATATAGTTACAATTTTGCTTTGAATCTAAAAAAAAATATCTGAGCAATTTCCTATTCAGTGTGAAAAAACCGCAAAGGTCTTTTAAAAATTTTTTAGAAAACAAGCATTGTATTTTATGAAAGTTTTTAATATTGCGAGGCCTGTCTGAAGTATTTGAAAATACGGCCAACCCTATTAACGTTGTTCAGTTGTAAAGAACAGCAAATTCATTTGAAGCATATTACGTGTTTTTAATTTCGGTGCATAAATACTCAACATAAAGTTCCCGGATGTCAATAACATTTAATTCGCCATCTTTCTAAAGTTTATCATTACAATTCTTCCTGAAAATTTTAAATTTTATTTAGATGAATTTGGAGTTAAATATGCATTTGCTAGATGTCATTACGATCAAATTGTTGTTCTTCATCACTATTGCTTTCAATTTTCATCACCTTTACAGCCTCCGCTTAATTTCTCGTGTGTGTAATCCCCTCCGTTCGACCATTGTCATTTATAATCCCGAATCCGACAACTTGTATTTATCTGGGCTTCCTGTGGAAGACCATGTCTAAAAATGCAAGTGCACTTTTCTCCTTCGTCATCGTTGTTGTGAATATCACACTTCAAATTGATAGCGCCTGCGTTGCAGATTGACTGCAATCTCAGTTTCCATGGGGTTGTCAAACTAAGTCAATCCGCGCTTTGTCATCACTTTATGCATTGCTTTTTTACATCAGTTGGCCTGTGAGCAGCTGTTTTGTTTGTAAGCCATGAATGTAAATCACATAACAAAATCAAAGGCTGTAGTAATACTTAACTCAGTTCGATAAAAATTAAGATGTAATTAAGATGTAAATTACTTATATTGACTTATTTCTGTCTTGAACTATTTCAAACAAGACTCTATCGTGAAAATGAAATACGTATAGCTCAGCAGCGGACCATTGTCGCATCTATAGGAAGCCTACGTAAGCGATCTATGATCGTCTATTTCTTTTTAAAATAGGTTTATACTAAATAAACGTTCTCTGTTCGGAAAAAGAAAGTTATATCATCAAATCCATCTACAAAGGGAATTCAAAAAGTACTGAAAAACTCAATAAATTTTACCAAACAATATATCACTACAACTTGAACAAAAGTTTATTTTATTCATTGCTAATATACTTTTTACTCTAAAACACGGTCATACTTGGCAACCTTTTGAACCCGACATTTTAATAATACAGCCACTGTTCTATATGACAATCTATGCTTTGCCCCATGGACATCCCATAATTTCTTCAAAATTCAAGATGGCGGCCGTATTAGTACAAAGGTGTACAGTATTTCGTCGACGTGCATAGAGCGGATTTCGTATGACTGTGCAAAAAATCACGGTACGTTCGTGCTGTATCCGTACCGTGCCGTAGCCGTGATGCATTGGGAAATCTTGACTTTCATTTGAAATCATAGAAGGCGAGGTTCCGTAACCGTGCCGTGCCTTGTCCGTGTTGTGATCCGTGCTTTTGCACAATCATACGAAATCCGCTCTACTGCATGGCACTGAATCGGCAAATGTTCTCAGCGACAAAATTCAATTTTTGTAATAGGCATTTATATGGAACTCTATAGAGAACATAATTCACGCTCAACACTTTTCTATGCCAGATGTTTCATATTTAGCTACAGTTGAGTGTTTTCAGTGCGACGGGAGCTTGGTTCTATGGAGTTTCGACGCTCAACATTAGTCCGATTGTTTCCATTACAAAGCACTYTCTTCGCTGCTTCATGAAAGTCGGACAGACAGACRCAATAGATGACGGGACTGAGAGAAGAATTTCCAATGGSAAGAATGTACCAAGCTAGGAAGAACACCGCTGGCCACTTATATTCGGCGCATGGATTGATAGAAAATATTATGACATGTCCTATTACAAATGGAACATAGCAACACGTGTAAAGCAATAATGAATATAAAACCATTTTCACTGCATTTCGGATTCGCTTTTTTCGCTGTTGTCTTTGTACTTCAGAAAGATTGTTTTCAATGGCTTGTGGTCTGGATATTCTTCGCAATATTGTTATACTCAGCARGACTATTGCAAAATAAAAGGCCAACACCAAAGCAATATAACCAAACACATAAATCGTTCCATAATTTTTGTCCGTATAACGTCTAATACAAATCTTTGTAGACTTTGTTTGCTCAATTTGAGCAAATAATAAAGTATCTATTTCCATTACCATTGGAATCAACCATGAACCAGCTATTACTGCGGCTCGCCGCTTTCCAGTAAATGGTCGTGGGATTTGAGSAGTTTGCCTTGTGATTTTGAATCTTTCAATGCTGATGATCAGAAGAGTAACGAGAGACGCTGTATTAAAAATGTGGTTCGAATATGTCACTTTGCAGAGAACTGTTGCAATTTTTACGTCAATTTTGTTCCATAAGCCAACCGTTAGAAATCTGTCATTGATAAACTGGAATATACTAGCCGCGATAAAAAGAGTTTCAGCGACAGCCATGTTGATGATCAAAAAGTGAAGATTCTTTGTTGCAGTGTACTTTACAGCCAGCACGATGACAAAAACGTTGCCAAAAATACCAAATCCACCAAGAACCAAACATGACATAAGTTTAACAGTTTTTTCAATGGCTGATTCAGGTTCTGTGTAAGTGCAATAACTGTTGACTTGGTTTTTTAAGCTTGCCGTGTCATTCATGTTTGCAGACTTGATGTAATTAACTCTCTCAGAATTTTCTTTTGTCGTTGTGGATGCTGTTGCTGCTGCTGTTGTTGTTCTTGTTGCTGCTGCGGTTGCTTTTGTTGTTGTTGCTGTTGTCGTTGTTGTTGCTGCTGTTGTTTTTGTCGCTGTTATTGCTTCTTCTGCTGTTGTTGTTGTTGTTGCTGTTTCTGCTGCTGTTGCTGCTGCTGCTGCTGTTGTCGTAGGCCTTCCCGATTGTAAAATCAGAATTCGGCTTTCTCTTCAATTGCTGTCCTTTAGGCTTGCTTTCTCCTTTCTCGTCTTCTTACGTGTCTTTATCTTGCTCGATTTATTTTTTCGTTCTTCTAATTTCAAATAAGTTCCTTGTGTAACGATGGAGCTTGTGTTATGATGGACCTGGGCTTTTGAACTCAAAATATCAACATTTTAGCAATGTTAGATAACTGAATCACATCGTGGATTCATACCAAGAACTTGTTTGCTCAACGTGCCTAATTCTATGGTTTATAAATTGCTCCTTTTACTTGTGTGACGTCAAAACTCGACATGACCAACTGCTTTGTACAATTTTTGATTAAAAACTGTCAATATGCCATTCCACTTAGTGGAGAACTTCTTCATATATCGATAACAATTACCAAAAGCGACCAATGACACATTTGGAACTACTGTTAACAGTTACATTTATAGAACATTATTTGAAACTACAGTGCCGAGACAGATGTACTTGTATATAATCTCAAAACTAATATACAATTTTACTAATAGCGATGACAATTACAGAAAGCGACCAWTGGCACATTTTGGTATCCACTGTTAACAGTCGCATTCATTGAACTTTTTATGGAAACTGAGACAGATGAACTTGTATACAATTTTACTAACATCGGTAACAATTATAGAAAGCGACCAATGACTGATTTGAATTTACTATTTGCAAGTAGTTATTGGACATTAATGGAAGCTGTGAAACGTAATATATATATTTTCAAAAAATTCATATACAATTTTACATTACCTTACCATCTGTCGTCTAGACAATTTTACCTTTAGATATGCCGTTACATCATTGAATAATATTTCACCCAATTTTCTTGTGAGAATCAATAAATTTTCTATGGCTATTTGGGTAACAGATGTCTGATAAAAGATTACTTTAATGCAATTCTAGCTGAACAGTTGTGTAAAAAGATAAATTTAACACCGTAATACATAGGTGAAACAACTTACTGACGTTTCATCTCTTTAATCCGATGAAGGATTAACGTGCAAAAGGTCAGTAAGCTGTTTAACCTATTTTTTTACGGTATTAAAGTTATCTTTTTATAACACAACTGTTTCTTTAGAAATACCGACGCAGCTCACACTAGTTTACAWTAGTTTCAACAGTTTCAAGTTGTATTCTATCAAATTTATTCAAGTGAAAGAGTAGTTTAAGTGCTGGGCAGTCTACCTAGTCCTCATGTCGGTGTGAAGACTTCTGGGTGCTACTGAGCTTCCCCTTAAAATTATAATTCGCGYGTGGGCACAACAAAGCAATCTTCTCGCTGCCTCACGAAAGTCGGACAGACAGAAACAATAGATGCAGGGACTGAGACTGGAATTGACAAGGGGAGGAACGTACCAGGTCAAGAAAAAAAGCGTTGGCATATCACTGCAATTGTAACATTGACAATCGATAACATGTGCTATACAAAAAGGAATAAAACAACATGTGTACAGCAATATCGAGTACAAAACCATTTTTACTGAGCTTCTGATTCGCTTCCTTCGCTGTTGTCTTTGTACTTCAGAAAGACTGTCTTCAATGGCTTGTGGTTTGGATATCCTTCGTAATGTTAAGACACTTAGAAAAACCGTGATAGCATAGCAGATCATGTACAAAGTGAACAGCACCAAGAATACGATCCACTGAAGTGTATTTCCATCTTGCATATAGCTTCTTATACAAATCTTCTTCGAATCTGTTATTCCAATATGATCAAAAATCGGCGTATCTGTG